TATTATGATTGGTATATGGTATAGATAGTTACTCTATATCGCGTTATGTTTTGGTTGTTAGAGGTATATAGTTATTGAGGGGTGAGGTTGTGATTATGGTGTGGTGTGTGTGGAATAGACTAGGTGGGGATGTATGTTTTGAGTGGTTATGAGGTTGGTTATACGTGGGGTATGTTTAGTATAGTGTGTATGGGTGTGTTATGAGTCTTATGGTATGTATATTATTGGTATATCTGGGTTTTGAGTGTCAGGTAGTGTATCAGTAGTTAGTTTTAGTATTGAGTTGATTGTCGGTGTGTTGTATGGGTGTACATGTACTGATTGATATCATTAATATGATGGTTAGGTAGGGGTAGGATAATGGAGTGGTTATTATGTTGGGGGCGGTGTGTTTATATTTATTGAGGCTGATAGAGATGTGTGTAGCAGTTGATGGGCGTTGTGAGGTGTACACTGTAGTAGGGGTTTGAGTGTCTGGTATAGTGTATTCTGTTGTGTGTTTAGTGGTTGGTGGTAGTGAAGGTTGGGAGGTGGGAATGGTTTTATACATATACCATATGTGTTGTAAGTGGATGGTAGTAGTAGTGCTTGGGGTTTGGATCGTGGTGAGTGAGAGATGAGTGGCGTTATTATGACCCATAGTGTGATCATGTGTGAGGTGATCTTTTCCTAATGATGTGAGTTCCAGTGATAGCCCTGTTCCGCGAGTTCGCCAGGGTCTGGTTCGCGCCGCTGAGTGGCGTGTGGTAGCGATGGCGGGCCGTTGGAGGGTTGGTGGGGTGGTGGTGTGTGCTGGTGTGGATGAGGCTGGGTGGTGGGTATTGGGTTCGGGCGGTGGATGTTGGGGGTGGGGGTTGGTTGGGGGGGATTGGGGAAGTGCGTTGAGTTCCTTGTGGGGGTGGGTGTGGGGGCGGTGGGGGGTTGTCGCTGGGGGTGGGTGGGGGGGGTTGCGCTTGCTTCGACGGGTGCGGGTGTCGGGGGGGGTGGTGCTGGGCTGTAGGTCGGTGCGAGGGGCGGGCGAGCCGTGGGTTTTACTGTTTGGGTGGCAGCTGGAGTGGGGGTTGTCGGGTGTGGACCTGGGTGCTGTGTGGGGGGGGTGGTTGTGGGGGTTGGTGGGGTCGCCGGTTGTGGGCTTTGTGGGTATGGTTGAGGTTGCGGGAGGGGGGTGTGTGTGCGTGTTGGGTGTGCAGGTGGCCGTTTGTGTAGGGTGGTTGGTGTTGGGTGGGGTGGGTGTGCGGTGGGTGGGGTTGTGGTGTGGGGTGTGGGGGTGGGTGGGGTGGGGGGAGGTGTGTGTGGGGGTTTGCGGGTTGGGGGGTGGGGTGGGTGGTGTGGTTGGGTCGGGAGTGTGGTGGGTGGGTGTTTTGGTGGTGCGTGGGTTGGTGGGTCTTGGTGTGGGCGATGCTTTGTGTGTTCATTTATTGGGTGGGGGTCGCGTGTCGTTGGGTGGTTGTGGTAGTGGGTTGTCGTGAGGGTGTAGGTGCTCGGGGCTGGGATGGTTCGGTGTGGGTGTTAGGATGGCAGACAGGCACGTAAAAGTGGTGTGGCTCAGAGCTGAAGTCGAATATTACGGTGTTGGGTGTTGGTGTGGGTGGCTGATTGGGGGGTGGTTGGTTGTGTTGTGGTTGGGGTGGGGTCGGGGTTGTTCGGGGGGGCGCGGGTGGGGGGGGGAGTTGATGCTGCTGGAGGGGCGGTGTGTGGGGTAGAGTGGCGTTGTGTGGGTGTGCTTCGCAGCGCGGCAGAGTTGGGGGGTTGGTGTTCCTTGGCGTTGTGTGTGTGGTGGTTGTTGTTTGTGTGGTTGTGTGGTGGGGGTGCTGTTCGGGTGTGTGTGTTGTCGGGGGGTGGGGAGTGTGTGTTCTGGCGGTGCAGGCTGGGGTGGGGGGGGTGTTGCCGTTTGGGGCTTGTGTGTCAGTTTGGCACCTTGGTGGGGTGGGTGCCTTGTGGGTGTTGGGGGGTGGTCGATGGGTGTGAGAGCGGGGTGAGGGCGTGGCTGGGGGCGGTCGTGTGGGTGTGGCTGGCTGAGGGAAGGGGGGTGGGTTGTCGCGGAGGTGGTCGGTGGCGCGCTGTTTGGTTGGTTAGGTGGGCGTCGTTGTGTTCGCGTGTGATTTAGCGGGGGTAGGTGCTGCTCGGGGGTGTGCTGGCGGTGGGCTCTCGCTTCTTGCCTTCTTCGTTCGGGTGGGGTTTGTTCGGGCGGTGTGGGTTGTGCGGTGTTTGGGTGTGGTGGCTGGTGTGGGGGGTGTGAGGGTGTGGTTGTTGTCGCGGAGTGCGGTCGGTGGGGTATGGGTGTGGCGAAGTGTTACGGTGCTCTTGCTGGTCGGGGTCGTGGGCCGGTGTGCTGGTGGGGTGATTGGGGTGTGCGGGGGGGTGTTTGGATTGTGAGTGTGGAAGATATATAAATATATAATAATATAATTAAATATATATATATGTAGTAGGATTAATAAGGAAATATATAACTTTATAGAAATATATTATAATATAATAGGGAATATAATATATAAGTAAGTAATAAAAGGATATATATAGAGTAAGGTCGTAGAGATAATATAGTTATAATAAGAATATAGATTAATATAGAATATGTATATATAGTATAAGATGATGGTATATATGAATTATAATATAAGAGTAGTGTTAACAGGTAGTAGATATATTAGTAGAGTCATAAGGGTAGAATAGCTTTAAGATTATTAGTGATGGAGAGATTAGTCATAGGTATAGTAATTAGGAGACGTATCTAGTAGAATGATGAGTCTATATAGAGTAGTTATATGCAGGGATGATTCGGGGTGATGAATAAAATAATAGCGAGTGAGAGAATAATTATAACATGTTAGGGTGATATGGTATTGAATATGTAGGTGATATGACTGAGTGATGAGGATTGAATGTTGTGGTAGTGGGTCATTGTTTAGATGGAAGGATAGATAGGCCTTGTTAATTAGTGATGGATGTTAATATAAGCTATAAGTCAGTTAATGAAGAATGCTAGTAATATAGGATTTAAAGCGAATAGTCTGGTGATAGAGTGAAGCATATGAGAACATCTGAGCAATGTTCTAATGATGTCTGCCTACATGTCTTCAACTAAGCTTCTAATACATTTCTGAATGTTAGTGTAGAGAGGTAGATGATAGCAAGTGTAGGAATTTATGACTTGTAGGGTAATAACAGCTGCCCCAATTCGATACATGGTCAGAAAGAAGAGCTGTGTAGGTGAAAAGATCTGAGCAATTAAGAATACGCCGCTTGCGTACTAGACTAATATTAGGAGCGTGTACACATTAAATTTATGTAGAAGGAGGGCTATGAGATTGAGGGATGCGGTCGATAGCAATGGGCAAAGCTAGGATACATTATCGCAATTCATAGACCGTTTATTGAATACAACACGTCTCGCCACCATTAACTGCCTACAATAATCCTTGTGAAGTTTTAGTGTCTGTGCGCACGCACCTTGAACGATACTGTCTTACATATATATTTGGTGGACTAAATCATCTTGTAATTTTATTTGTGCCTTACGTCTTACATTAATTTACAACCTACACACATCTTCGTTAGTCTTACAATTAATTTGGCATATTTCAACAACTTTCAATTCTAATATACTATCATATAACCAGAAGTAGTATCAGTCCCTTTTTTAGTATCAAATTGAAAGAAACAGGACAGGTGTTGGAGCAGAGGGAAAAGTAACAAAGTGAAGAAACAGCTTACAAGCTCACCAAGAAAATAAGACAGAAAAGAAAAAAAAATCTGAATCAGAGAGGCTATCAGATAAGACAAGACTTAAAGTTACTTGCAGGAATATGTACCCAAAATTACTGCTGATGTTAGCAAAAGAATTACTTGGCATAATAATTCAAGCTTTAAGATAGTACTGAAAAACAAAATACCTTTAAATCTCTAATTTGTCCTGTTGCATATACAGACAAGTCCGTCGGTTGATGGTCAGGAGTTCTGGCAGAGCCTAACATATGTGCATAAGACTGTTGTGGTGTTGGTGGGTATGGGCCCACCATATGTAGATTCTCTAATACACCCAATCTTGACAATGGAGTGTCCAGGGGAATTCTAGTCCCTTGACCTGAATGAAAGGAAAATTTTCATTTAATACTGATAGACAACTACATATCAAACAGATAAATTAGCTACACTAGACTGGCTATCATTCTTTATAAACAAACTGACTAGAACTTGCCTGCCTCTAATAAATGATCTTTTATATATTTGGAAAAATTACAAATAAAGCAATGTAACAATATAAATAAACAATAACAAAACAATAACAAGGCAAACTTGTTCATAGGACTCACTTGTATTGTGAGTATGTGTTCGAGGAATGCCAAACAGTTCTTCTCTCCGAGCATTTGGCTGAAGTAAGTGAGGTTTATCAGCAAGAGGCAAAGCTTCTTGTAAAGGACTGCTAAATACATCTGCACCCACTGATCCCAAGCAAAGTGTCGACTGTGATCTCTGAAATCACAAAGATATTCAATTTATATTCCCTGCAAGAAATGACTTCCATGTCATTTTATCTCATTAACTTTTGACAGAAATATATCTGAGTTCAAAACTTAACAAAAAGTGATTTATAACAATAATAATGAAGAAAAAGTTTGACTGTATGTACCTGGAAGAATGTATGTTTTCGTCCTCTAGAATTGGAAAGATTTGAATCCTCATCAGCTGACTCACTATCACCAGCTGAAGGGGTGACTGATGGCAGATCATCCATGTCATCCTCATTTTCATTCTCATCCCGTTCCCAAGAAAAACCCGTACACTCAGCCCCACCCGAGTCTATGTGAGCACTGCTGTCTGTCTCACAGCACCGCAAGTAGCTAATGAGAGCGTCAAATACATATGCTGTGTGGGAGATAAAAAGTCATTTTACAAGACAATAAAATATCTGTATGAAAAATAATCTTCTATATATGAATTATATATACTTGCAAAGAGGTTAAGGAAATATTTCATATCTAAATGTTAGGTTCACAATCATTGTAAATGGAAAAAATAAGTAGTTTCACAAAGTTATTCAATTCAATCTTACTTCTTAAAAATATTAAGTGAACTACATGTTTGTCATAATACCCTTCTCTTTTGAAGATAATGAGATATGACAATATCTTACCAATATGTTTCAGAGATCCAACATCTATATCTGGTAGTGTGTCACAGTGTTCATTCTTATGGGCTCGCAGAAGAGAGACCACATAGGAGAGAGTATCCCTTCGAGCATTCTGTGGATCAGCTGTTGTATTGGTGGTTCTTGCTCCACGCCTAGCACTCTGGTACCTTGAAAGTGGACTAATCAATGGATCTCGTATAAATGGAAGGCCAGTTCTTCCCGCACTTCTTTCACGGGGGCGTGTCTGGGATACTCCTGCTGGTGGTGCTGTTGGTGGTGTGCTGCTGCTTCCACTTCCTTCAATGAGTTGGTTCAATTCTCTTCCAAATCTACAAAAGGGGAATCCAAAAAATAAGACTTGGTCATTAATGCACCTAACAGCCTCCACTAATCCTAATATGAAAAATAATGTGATATTTATTTTAACAAAACTGGAACAATCTAAAAAGAGAAAAGAAGAGAAATTCTTTCATTCTCACCTTAGCTGGGACTCTGTTGAATCCATGAGGCTCATCAGCCAATCCCAAGTGGGACGAAGGCGAGCATCAACCTGCTTAAGAAGAGCTGCAATAATGGTCGGTGTGAGGCACATCTGAGTGGTGGCAGTGGCACTACTGCTGCTGCCAGGAACACCACCTCCACTTCCAGCAGGACCTCTAGAGGTGAGGCCTCCATCTCTTACCACGTCACAGGCCAAACTCAAAAGAGAGCTCATCTGCCTAATCACAATTGTAAAAGCCCTTGCAAGAGTATTGTTAGTAGTAGCCAGACTAACAGGCTCATGGGAGGATGGTGTAACTGTTGATGTGGATGTAGGTCCATGCCTGAGTGAAGTTGGATCAATGTATATTAAGCCACTAGAGGTAGGGTTGGAGGTACCTGTGGCTGTAGGGCCTCCAGTTGTTCCTCCAGAACGTGAGGTACTATCACGGGGATTCCTCACAGCCCACTGCAGATTGTGAGGTGCAATATTACGAGCAGTAGAGGAAGTGTTAACTCGCCTTTCTAACTGCTCATCAGAAAAGAGTTCACCGGAATCAAATTCATCCGTTTCAGCTGCTTCACTCTCATCATCTTCATCTTCACCTGGAGAAGACTCACCAGAATCATCCTCTCCATCACTCCCAGCAGTGGCACCAGTCTGAACTGATCGTTGAGTTGATGTATTATCTACAGCAGACTGGTTATCATCACTGTCACTGTCTGACTCTGCTAACAAGTCCAATTCCATGTCTGATTCTCCACCCTCTACTTCTGCTCCTCCGTCTCCTTCTTGCTCTGAACGCTCATTAGCATCATCACGTTCACTTCCCCCTGCATAAACAATAGTATAATTACTACCATCAGTTGTAAAAAGAAAAATATATATAAATATTAATGAAAAAACTAAGCTAATGTTGAAGCTAATGTAACAATAGAAATAAATGAGAATTTTTTTCTTGAAAATTGTAAAACATTAAAAAGCAAGAAAAACCCTCACCTTCATTATCATGGTCATCCACCTGGGGAGGGAGAATGTGATCTGGTCGAGCCCTCCTTGGTCTTGTCCCTGGGGCTGGGCCTGGGAGTGGAGCTACTTCTTCCTCCCCAGCCTCCTCCTCCTCTTCCCCTCCACCACTTCCACCAGCTCCTCTGGACACACTATTTCCTCCAGCTGAAGATAATGGTTCACCACCCATTCTATGCTGTTGCCACTGAAGGGGTTCCACTTCAAACATCTCCTGTCATAGAGGCATTGTTAATTGGGAAAGACTACAGTGTAACAGTTACTTTCTAATAATCTGTACTACTACAATTACACTATTTAGCATCTCTGCACTAGGTACACACACATTTTCTAAATACCTTGCAGCCATGATTGCCATCTACATGGGTTGACGTGAGTGGAAAAGGTGCAGTCGGCTTGACATAGTTGAGCCGTACAGGCAACATAAGGGCATCTGCAGCATCACATAGTTCTGTCACAGCCACTGGAATGATGGACTCAAATACCTGTGTTAAGAGATATTTCAAAATTAGGATAAAGCTACAGATTTAATCTTTTTAGGATTTTTTTTTTCTACAAGTAATATATCCAATACTTTGTGCTTTAATGACTACTCAACAATAAGAAACAAGAAAACCAAACCATCATCTACATAATATTATGAAAAATCAACAAGAGAAAATCTCAAACACCTAAGTAATATATGCTTATTCTTACTTTGATACATTTAGCAAGGGACTGCGTGTAGGAGCTGCCTGGCTTCTTTTTCCCAGCATTAGGCATCATTTCAATGGCTAAAATAACAAAGATCCTAACCACTGATGCAATAAACCTCCTGGCCACCTGAAATAATACATGAAATGACTTTAACATGGAGTTACAGAAATGGAAATAGTAATTGGTAATTTTTTCAGATAGATTTCTTACATGTTACTCAAAATTATGAGTCTCTTAATTCACCTTTTCTGCTTCCTGCTTTCTTCCAGGAACTGTGTCATTGTGCAGCTCTCTGATCAATGTGTTAATGAGAGCAGTCACCATTGTGTCAGCAATCATCTTTCGTTCATCATCGTCACTATTAATTAGGTGCTTCAGCTTGAGATTCCTAGGCTCAACCTGGAAAGGTTATTCATAACAGCTGAACAAGTGATTACAAAAAGGATATAAAGTCACCACAACATTTTCAAAGTTTATACAGTATGTCAGAGTTCCAGCAGTTGCCCAATTCCTATTTCTACTTACCTGAGTTGCTAACTTCACAAGCAAGCAATACGTAAATTTGTCCAGGTGGGTTGTATGACCTTGAAACTGCATGAAATTAATATCATCAGTGGATGCAGACGAAGGAGGACTTTCTTCCTTATGACCCGTCATGATCATGGCTCTCACAGCTGCCCAGTCATTCAGCAAACGTTCAAGTGCTCTTCGGCTGAACTTGGGTGGTTCTAAATCATGGTCAGGTACCTCCATGTTGACTACATCTGACAGCGTATTCTTACGAGTAGATGATGATGACGACGAACGACACCTGAAACAAATCATGATTTAATTTACTTTAACTTAAATAATTAATATTACTGTTTATAATCTGTTTATAATATATATCATTAATTATATAGTTAATGTTTGGAAGATTTGTTATAATATCATTTTACCAATATGCAAATAAGTCAGCAGTGTACTAACCTAGACCACTGCTTCTGTTCAGTGACTTGCCGCCCAACAGTTTGTACCAAGAACAGGAGAAGGTTTTCACCTCTACCATTGGATATGTTCACTAGATCAGTCTCTGTGATGAGCCTTGACAAAAGGTCAAATCGTGCAGTCTGATGGCCAGACTTCAGAGCTTTGCATTTACATTTTTCCCAGCAATCACAATACGCTGTTGGTGAAGTTTTCTTGAGCTTACAGTCATGCCCTTTATGGCACACTCTTGCACATTCTGTACAGCAACACAAGGAGCCAACAAGGCCACAGGTGCGACACTCAAATATGTCTTGATTAATATGCTCTGCTCCTGTCCAAGTGAAGGAGCAGGTATCATTATAGCACAGGACATGAAGCGGCGAGTCATCTGGGTTACTGCCCCTTGGGAATATCATTTGCATGACAGCACGTCTTTCGCTCTCAGCATCAAGAGCACTATCATGTGCCACCCTGTGAATGACATCAAAAAGGATGAGGGCTGCCTGATACGCCCGACCAGAGACAGCCAGCATGAAGGGAGTAAAGCCGTTTGAGTCACGAGCAATGAGCAGGTTCCTCAAGTGTGGTGTTAGTGCTGGGCTGTCACAGATGGTTCTCAGGATAGTGAGAGAATAAGATTTACGCTCTGCAGGGTCTGATGTTCCTAGGTTGGGCATGCTTGGCCCTGGTGTGGTTTTGGAGGAAGATGGGGTCATGAGGTCATCCTCTGGCCCTGCAGCACTAGCTGTGTCACTGAGGGTGTCAGATGAGCTAGGGGGCCAAGCAAAGCTACCCAAAATAGGATCTTTCTCTAATACAGATTCCCCTTCGGTCTCTTTGCTTGTAACTGGACAGCAAGTAGATATACATGCATGCAGGATGTTGCGGTTTCCGTCACACTTTTCTTCTACTATTCCCTCTGTTGTTAAACTTGTCATACCAGCTAGTGATAGAGAAAAGTTTTGATTAAACCCAAATGAAATTCTATCCTTACAATTTTATGGCATGAAAATTGTATCTATTAACCTTAACTTCCAATAAATAGTAATAATTCAAAATTACATAAAATAACAATACCATTACAAATATACATCTGCATTACCTCCATTGTCACTTTCAATGAGAGCCAAGACCTGCCTAACACCTTCTGGATCACATCGCAGGATTTTTGGCATCAGAGTTTGTGTCTTGAGTGCCAGCACCAGTAATGCAACATGGTTCTTCTGGTGAGCACCAGCCCCATGCAAGAAATGTGTGGCTACACCTAAGCATGACACTGGAGGTAGATCAGGCCAGTGAGGGTCTTTGATGGAGTCAACACAATCTTTGCTCAGAGGGTAGATGGTACTATTACCATCACGAAGCACACCAACGTTTTCACTCTGTGAAATGTTTAATCACTTTTGTATTATTGAACATCCAACTCTGTACATTATTTCAACAAAATCTTTCAACTTTTCCATCCAAGGAAAACAATCGCAGTCTTGTCTCAACAAACCTCTCCATTAATAGTAAGTGATATGGCAGATGGTTCTGATCCCATGAATGCTGTGCTCTCAGTTGGAAATACACATTCCTGCTCTGATTTCCCAGAGCTGAGATTGTATATGACATATGTCAAGCGACTGCCATTCCTGACAATGGCGTGAATGCCTGGGGATAAAAAAATAATAATAATAATGATAGTAATAATC